TGCTTGACTGTATGGCTCCAGACACACCCCTTCTTTGAATCTGTACGGTACCAAGTACCATAGAAACGTTAGATGCTTGACTGTATGGCTCCAGACACACCCCTTCTTTGAATCTGTACGGTACCAAGTACCATAGAAACGTTAAATGCTGGACTGTATGGCTCCAGACACACCCCTTCTTTGAATCTGTACGGTACCAAGTACCATAGAAACGTTAAATGCTGGACTGTATGGCTCCAGACACACCCTTTCTTTGAATCTGTACGGTACCAAGTACCATAGAAACGTTAAATGCTGGACTATATGGCTCCAAACACACTCTTTCTTTGAATCTGTACGGTACCAAGTGCCATAGAAACGTTAAATGCTGGACTATATGGCTCCAAACACACTCTTTCTTTGAATCTGTACGGTACCAAGTACCATAGAAGCGTTAGATGCTGAAAGAAGGGCACGTTATATCGTTGAGGGTTCCCATGCTGCCTCGTGTTTCTGTGTGATTAGTTTCACATACACAAGGTACGTATACACAGGGTGATATATCAAGAAAAAAATGTTCGAAAATCATTATACCTTAAAATACAATTTCACTGAGAACGGCTTGGACTTGGTACAGTATTTATCACAGTATGTTATTTTCTTTAAGTGAAGTTACCGTCATTTCTTGACAGACTTCATTGTTCTTTCAAATAGTCATTACACTATAATACGTTATTATTTAAATCACCAGCCTCGTATTGGTGAAATAAAAATACCTGTCACATGCTAGCCGGCCTGGTGGGTCGTGGTATTGTACGAAAGGCGTCGTCGGCACAGGATAAAGCAGGTGTACTGTGGATGGCATATTATAACACGATCGCCTTTGTTTTCACTCACTGGTTCTTTTCCTTTATAATCATCCCTGTATATGATATAGCATCTTCATATATAAGGATTCATTTATTAACCGCCCCTGTATATATATTTACGAGGACGAAGATAAACCTATTTCGTCACTTCAGTAAGCTTAATGAATTTGAAACAAGTTTATCATTGGATCAGACATTTGTTCAGTAGATAGGTCCAAACGTCTTACACATTTTAAAGGTGTTTTCGCTAGAACGTTTCTTTTTGTTCTGTCATTTATCTATATATGATGCCGTACAGATTATCGGATTCTGCCTTTTGTTTTCAGATAGTTTGTTTCTGCGTTATTTCTAAGCATACCCTAACGATCTTTTCCAACAGCCTCTTCTCTCTGTGATATTATAAACATACGGAATCGCCTGAAGGTTTTGAACTGATCACGTGTCATAGTTTCATTTCAAACTTCTGACGTAAGACATATCGTCTCTTCTCTTCTATTCTATTCTGGTTTTTCGCCAACACAAGCAAGTGATAAATGCCACGAGAAGCTAAGCCTTACCATTCCGGTACAGAGGGATTTAAAAGCTAAACAAGACCGTCAGCTTCATAAGAAGAACAATTTATCAATCCAAGATGAACGATTAGAGACAACTGAAGCAAATTGCTTTGTCAATAGCATGGCGCCCAGCAAGTCGTCAGTGCCAGTGTACAGCGAAATAAACGTAGAGAAGGGACGTCTCGCGGTTAACCGGTCATAATGAAGACCTGTGGGGTTTCTTCGACGTATACGTTTTACCACTAACTTCCACATTACGTCAGCTGCTATAGAAAGCTATCATTAGACGTGGACTTATAAACCACTCGATCAGGATTTCTTCAACAAATGCTCAAGTGATTAACTTCTACAATAAAACAATAGTTACTTCAGACCTTCTGACGAGCGTACAATTATACCATACAATAAAACAATAGTTACTTCAGACCTTCTGACGAAGGTATAATTATAATATACAATAAAACAATAGTTACTTCAGACCTTCTGACGAAGGTATAATTGTACCATACAGTAAAACAATAGTTACTTCAGACCTTCTGTCGAAGGTATAATTATACATACAATAAAACAATAGATACTTCAGACCTTTTGACGAGGGTATAATTATACCATACAATAAAACAAAAGTTACTTCAGACCTTCTGACGAAGGTATAATTATAATATACAATAAAACAAAAGTTACTTCAGACCTTCTGACGAAGGTATAATTATAATATACAATAAAACAAAAGTTACTTCAGACCTTCTGACGAAGGTATAATTATACTCTGAAGTAACTATTGTTTTATTGTATCCTTCTGACGAAAGTATCATTATAATATACAATAAACAAAGTTACTTCAGAACTTCTGACGAGGGTATAATTATACCATACAATAAAACAATAGTTACTTCAGACCTTTTGACGAAGGTATAATTATTCCATACAATAAAACAATAGTTACTTCAGACCTTCTGACGAAGGTATAATTATACATTCAATAAAACAAAAGTTACTTCAGACCTCCTGACGAACGTATAATTATATCATAAAATAAAACAATAGTTACTTCAGACCTTCTGACGAAGGTATAATTATGATATACAATAAAACAAAAATTAATTCAGACCTTCTGACAAGGGTATAATTATACCGTAGAATAAAACAATAGTTACTTCAGACCTTCTGACGAAGGTACAGTTATAATATACAATAAACAATAGTTACTTCAGACCTTCTGACGAGGGTGTGATGATTTGATATATGATCATTCAAGAATGGTTTCTTTTTTTCTTCAACTACATAATGAGTTTTAAATATCGAATATTTTCAATACTCATTCTCTCTATCTCTGTAACTATCCTATCTTTATTAATATTATAAAAGCCAAGTGTCGGTCGGTCAGTCAGTTGGTCACGCTCGATTTCTCCGAATTTCGTGAGATACACGAGTCCATTTCCCCTTTTTTCTACTATAGTACCCCCTCCTTTGATTGGCCGTTCCTAAATTTCGGCACCTTTTCTGCTATATAAAAGCCTGTCAAGGAAGAAGTTCCAAGGACTGGATCAGGCATAGCGTTGTGTGTGTGTGTGACACCACATCATTCACATCATTATGACGTCAAGCTTGGTGGGATCCTAATAGAGAACTCGGGAAAGCTCCTGTAATCGAACTTACGAAAGTGCATTCGCACCCTATCGACGCCTGTGAAAAACAAGTCAAAAATTAGCGCAAGTCTATACTTGGGAATTATTAATAAATAGGCTTTGTTAAAACAGACTGAATTATCTGTATGTAATCACATGGTCATCGTTTTAATATTTTATCCAAAGTAGCATGTTTATTCAGTGGATTCAAGATTAATATGTAGTATGTTCCTGGGACATGAAATCTTATATTTGTTTTTTTGTATTTCCAGCTTCATACAGAACAGCTTCCCGTCATTTTTGACGGTATTTTATGCTAGTTTACGTTATATACAGTTTTATATGTCAACCTCAGTCTTTTCATGCAGAATGGAGTACTTCAATATAGAAAGCGAATTATAGCTAAAGTAAGTTGAAAGTTTCAGGATGTCTAGTAGGTTTTGAACCATCTAAACAATTATCTCCGGCAAGTTTCTCTAGAATATGAACGAGTCAATTTGATAAATACATTATTTGTCTAACCCTTATATATTTCACTATCATCATTAAGACATTTTTAGTGTACATTTATCTTCATTAAATACATATTAACAAGAGTTATATTATTCCAAAACATCTTGAATGAGTATTAAAGGAAAGTACCGAAAGTAAAGAAAAACGATTTGGCAGACATTTTTTAAATGACTTGGAGAAAGACAGGTTCGAAGTGAACGTTCTTCAGCTAGAAATGTTGTTCAGATGTACAGCAGGGAATGGGTTCGTTGGAGAGCCTCAAACGATCCTAATAATCATCATCATTACAGCTTGTTTTCTTCCCTCTAACAAATAGTGTTTCCCCAATAATGACTCGGTTTAAGGAGGAGCAGTCGACACTGGTCATCATTGTTTACAGTATGATTTCATGCGTGCCACTACTTGTTTCACTCTAATCTGAGACATTAAACAACAACCGTTTCTTCTTGTTGTTGTTATTTAATGATGGTAAATTAAAGTTTTTATTACAAATGTGTTTCAGAAAGGTTGAGAATTCGTAAGATAGGATAAATAATAATATTGATAATATATCAAACTGTCTTCTTAGCTATTCAACAACACCTACAAAGAATGCAAAGCGTTTTATTGGTCTCGTAATGAAATATAGCGATTTTTCTTTCTTGTACAAGCTATTGTTACATTGTAAACAACTTAGGATGAATTTAACTACAAATGTTAAGTACGTTATGTTAAAATGATTTTGGAGATTCACGTCTGGTCACCATGTATGTTTACAATAATCTTGATGCGTAATTTATATTTCAAAAGGCTCCGTCGTCGATATGTCATGTCTAAAGTGCACATTACTCCTTAAAAGCTTTCTATAATCCATCTAGAGTAGAGGACGATGCTTTCTCAGTGTCCTTTTCAAAAGTGTGATCGCATAGAAATCCATATTCTGGTGACTTGACAAATATATATTCGTATTGAATAGATTGATTACTAATTTCATGTTCCAGTTGCTCGAGACTTAGCAAATGTCATGGAAACAACTTGCTTACAAGGGACTTGTGTCCTCCTTGAGTACGGTTTTTACTGTTGCCTGGGGCACATGGACAGATGTTACCTCTGTTGTGTACATTGATTCTCACTTTTTACAAGACGCCACAGTTTGTTTGACAGGTCTATGGTACAACTTGTTTCAGGTCTCTTTGTGAATGGTCCTGATATCTTAACTTGATACATATTTCTTTGTTTTCTAATGCCATAAAGATCGAGGGATATCCCAGTCTTGGTATTCCTAAATTCCCGATCTAAACATATTCTTATAATCTGAGTGTATGAATATTTTGTTACATACCCTTCCTAGAAAGGAGAAATTTCAGGTGTCATCAAATTACCAACGAACATCAAGTAATGTAAAACTGTATTCATGAGTTGCTGGATGGAACATAAACAATTATTTAATATAACGTATTGAGCAATCCGTACACGTTAAGTATGTTCTATATTCAAAGTATTAGGAGTTAAACTGTATGTTAACTTTTATTTTGTGTAAACTGTTTTATGTTTTAATCAACGTTCTACGTTGTATATTAAAGTTTATTTTGTATAAACTGTTTTATGTTTTAATCAACGTTTTACGAGTTAAACTGTATGTTAAAGGTAATTTTGTATAGACTGTTTTATGTTTTAATCAACGTTTTACGAGTTAAACTGTATGTTAAAGGTAATTTTGTATCAACTGTTTTATGTTTTAATCAACGTTTTACGAGTTAAACTGTATGTTAAAAGTAATTTTGTATCAACTGTTTTATGTTTTAATCAACGTTTTACGAGTTAAACTGTATGTTAAAGGTAATTTTGTATCAATTGTTTTATGTTTTAATCAACGTTTTACGAGTTAAACTGTTTGTTAAAGGTAATTTTGTATCAACTGTTTTGTTTTAATCAACGTTTTACGAGTTAAACTGTATGTTAAAGGTAATTTTATGCAAACTTTTGCACCATTTGTGAATCTCATTCCAAGTTTGTTTCTCCATATTGATTCGTCTCAAGCGGTCTGTATAACCTGTCGCAAGGCTTTCCATCTTAAAAAGTTGAACTCCATACATTTCTGCATTCAAATGTTAATGTGTAAAATATACCGAAATTGACATTCTGAGGCCCGATTTCCGCTGCCTCTGCATTCCCATGACGTCTGATTAAAAATGGCCACTTCCTCTTCAGAACCCATCCACGGGGAACTGTACGCATCCATAAACACCTTTAATTTAGCATCAATGGCTATGTTACTCTCTCTATACGGCCGAGTGGAAATGGCATCTGGGACTGATCAATGAAGCCTGACACCGATCCCGACTTCACGACTTCTGCTAATTTTTTCGTTACTTTAGTAATCTATTATAATGCCAAGTAATTATCTTAGGTTCTCACAGACTGAAAAATCAGAAATAGTGCAAAAGTACATTTTCCTTGTCGCAAAAGTAACCGTCAAAATCACGATAGAGAAGGCAGGTAATCAAAACCACCCACCGCCAACTCTTGGGCTACTCTTTACCGACGAGAAATGGATTAACCGTCATATTATAAGATCCTCCAAACTAAAAGGACGAACATGAATTTAAAGAAAGATCTGAAGTTTCCTGTCACACTTGGATACGAATCTGTTCCTGATATTAACATTCTTGTACTTGAAACTGGATCATTACTTGATGTTTTTGTAGATTATCTGAAACTTTGATTTGAGTTTTTACCTGATACTCCTTACATAATATATTCATGAACATTCTTACATCTGGATCGATTCCAGACACTGCTGTGGATTGTGGAACAGTCAGATCTCCTGTTTATGTTTTATATGCATCAAAGATGTCAATCACTTGGACTAGTAAAGTATGTTAACTTGAAAACCAAACATGTTTGTATACAATCTTCCCCAACTGTTCCTTTCGAATACTGTCTCCAGTCAATATTACATAATACTGTCTCCAGTCAATATCACATAATGCTGTCTCCAATGTATTTTATACATCTACTTTTCAGATCCAGTTCAAGCCTTACAATTTGCTAGTGCTGAGAGACAATGGAATCCCTATACCACACCCTACCCAACAATACAGGGATCAACATTTCCACATATTAACTATTCAGTTGATGATGTTTTAGCAGGAAACTCCCATCATTCTTGCTCCAATTCAATCCATTTAACAACAGGTAACGACTTTAAATCAAAACGTTTAACTACAGGTAACGACTTTAAATCAATACATTTAACTACAGGTAACGACTTTAAATCAATACATTTAACTACAGGTAACGACTTTAAATCAATACATTTAACTACAGGTAACGACTTTAAATCAATCCATTTAACAACAGGTAACGACTTTAAATCAATACATTTAACAACAGGTAACGACTTTAAATCAAAACGTTTAACTACAGGTAACGACTTTAAATCAATACATTTAATTACAGGTAACGACTTTAAATCAATTCAATTAACTTCAGGTAATTACTTTAAATCAATACATTTAACAACAGATAACGACTTTAAATCAATACGTTTAATTACAGGTAACGATTTTAAATCAATCCATTTAACAACAGGTAACGACTTTAAATCAATACATTTAATTACAGGTAACGACTTTAAATCAATACATTTAACAACAGATAACGACTTTAAATCAATACATTTAATTACAGGTAACGACTTTAAATCAATACG